CTCAGTGACGGGTCTGGCCATGCCCCCAAAGCCGTTCCAGCGCGTGGCTGCTTCTGTGTGAGGGTCGAGGGGCAGGGCTGGGATCTCGCTCTAGGTCCATGTTCAGGTGATAGCGACCATCAGCAGAGGCCTCAGGGACTGAACTCCCCCTCGGGCTCCCATAAGGGGATCCCTCAGGGTTGGGTGATTAGCATGCTGAGTGGATGAAGCCCGCACTTCCTGTGAGTTATCTATCCGATTGTGGCCCTTCACCCTACCCGGCTCAGGGGTCAGAAGTCCTTGGCCCAAGCCCTGCCCGCTCATGACACCAAAATAAGTCCAGTTGATTGTACAGATCTGTCTAATATGAAATTCCTCCAGCCTGCTCGGCTCAGCAGCAAACCAGCTAACAAACCCGCTTCTGTGTCAACTGGACAAGCTGACATCTCCCAGAGCTCAGGCTGTCTGCAGAGGCGCAGGTCGACGCATCCGTTACACTCCGTTCATGGTTTGCAGGTTTTCTTCGAAACAACATGGGTTTATTTAAAATAAAGGCTTCGAATGTAGTGCATGAGATGCCAAGCATCAGGAGAAAGTCTCAGCTTGCAAAGGTACCAGCCCATTTACCATTCTGGGCCTGCCAAGGGGGTGGAACTGGCAGGAAATTGGTAAAAACTAAGAAAAAGACAATAAGGCTCACTCACACGGATGTTGCTCCCCATTGAATTACTCCACATGTGCACCAGCACTGCAGAGGGCAGACTTCAGCGCTCCGGCGCTCTGTTGCTCCAGCTGGCAGTGGCACCATGGGTTTCTAATCAAGATTTGTGCACTCCTGGGAGAATGCATCCGCTATTGTGCTTGTGGCTTTGTATTTGCGGAAGTAAGCGGCTGTGGTGAAGAATGTCGTGTGCGTTACACACGCAGCATTAGCGTCAACCTCAAGCTTTCAACAAGCGCGAGTCAGCCCTCAAAAAATCACGAGAGTGGATTAAAAATGCCGAGATTTTAAAACATAATCAACGTGAGGTTCTTTCTATTTCCCTGCTGGTTCTGGAGGCTTGAGGGTTGTATTGATTCACATTCTCCAGCTTTTCTCCACAACCCCCAGGATTTTTGTCTGTAAATGAAAGCTGAGAGCGTCCTGCCATCTCGTAACTCCAGGAGCCGGACTTTAAGAAAAACACCAAATATCAGGAGGCTTATGATAAAATCACCGTACTTGGCAACACTGCCTTGGGGATCACGGTTAATATCGCTTTCACTATGGCAAAACAATTTAAAAAGATGTTTTAAACAAGCCCTTGACTGGCTCATCGCGTTCTTTCTTGCTTAGTGGGCCTGATTCTGCTCCATAACTCCACTGACTGCAGTGGGTTTACTCCTAGCTTACCTTGTTGTCAGAGAACTATCACATCCCACAGAGTACGTGTGTTCCCTTGAAATGTGGTGGGTTTGTCTCTGTGGCTGTGACAGATCAGTTTATTATCTGCTGCTAGGGGTTTGATGCCGTTTTCTGCATCACAGGCTTCGAGCTTCCCTTCTGTTCCTGACCGTTGTGCACAGATGATCACCCTCCACCCCAGAGGTGGCTGCAGCTCAGCAGCATCGGTATCTAGTTTGCAAAGTGCTTTGGCCCCGTCCCAGAGAAGTGTCAAATCCGCTCCGTGTCAGCCCCGCTAGGCCCACAAGGTGGCACTCCCCGCGCTGCGTGCAGCTCAGCGGCACAGCCGGTACCAGTCAGAGGAGGCTGTTTCTTGGGCTCCTGGCTGCGCCCGGCTCTTGGGAAGGGAGCTAGGAACGGGTTCTTCCCCCTGGGGAATGGGTGCAGCACCGTGTTTGTGAATTTCCTACCACCCCAGCAGGAGGCTGTCCAGCCACCCCCTTGTCACCCGCGCTTCTCCTGCCCCTTTTCCCATCCATCCCCCTTGTGTCCCCGTTTCCGCTCCTGCCTCCCTTTCCTACAGAGACCGGCCTGCTTGGGGCAGGGATCCCGCCTGGTGGGCCCTGTGCCACGTGGTGCCAGCTACGAATGGGCGTGAATGTGGGAAGAGAAAGGGCCAAACTAGCAGTGATCCCGGCTGAGGCACTTGGGTTACGCCAGAGCGTACGGCCTGCGCTCCCAGCACTGAGGCGAGGGCAAGCAAAGGAACAAGGCCTGGGGACGGGGGCAGTTGCTTGGCTCATGGGTGAGAGGAGGAGGGTCCGAGAGGCCCGGTGGGGAGGGGTGTGGAGAGCGAAGGGGTGTGTGTCTCGCTGGTGGCTGGGGTGACCGGAGGAGCGACTCTCCTTCACCTGGCACTGTCCTGGAAATGGATGGCTCATGCCCCCCAGGGAACCCCCGAGGCTGAGAGCCCTGAGCCCAGCTCCACGGCATGGCCTCCACCCTTTTCTAACACCAGGGATAATGTCGATCTGGGGACCAGGAGCTCCCCCTCACCCCAAAACTCCTCTAGCCCCACTGCAGCAGTGTCCCCCTCCCCACGCTGCTCAGTGTCACTCCCAGGCTCAGAGGAAGGGGCGGGACACTGGGGTGGGTTTGGTGCCTTTAATGAGTAGCTCTGTCTAGCTGGTTAGAGAGGATGCCGGCGGCTGGCTCAGAATGGGGGGGCGGGATGTGCAGCTCTAGGGGGCTCCAGGTGGTGCAGGCTCCCCGCTCAGGTGTCTTCCCAGAAGAAGGCGTTGCAGGCCACGGTAAGAGCGGCCACCAGCACCACGTACTCCTTGAAATCCACCTCCCCGTCGCCGTTCTCATCCAGGTCCTGCATGATGCCATCCACGGTGCCCGCGTCCTTCTGGGTCTGCAGCGGAGACACCCCCGGGGAAGGCAGGGTTAGCGCATGCGGCCCAGGGAGGGGGGCTACCCCATGGGAGAGGAAAGGGGCCCAGGCGGCTGGGGGGGTCCCCAGTGAGAGGCCCCCAGAGAGAGTGAGTGGGAAGCTGGAGGCATGGGCTATCTACCTGGCCCTGGATGGAAGAGGCCCTAGTTTGGGGGAGGAGAAGGGTTAGAGCTGCAGTGGGGGAGGAGAAGCAATTAGGAGCCCGGGACTTAAGAGAGGAATGTTGGGAGACTTCATACCAGAGAGACCCATCAGCCTGGGAGGGGCTGGGAGGCCAGCACCGGGCATGTGGGAACCTTCTCCGGCCCAAGCCCGAGGGAACAACCGTCCTGCCCCGGGCCCGGGCATGGTTCTGCTGCTGGCGACCACTCACGAGAGGGGAGGCCAGGCCCGCGGGGGAGCGCCGGCCCAGGGGTCCCCGCGCTGGAATGGCGGGGGCGCCCAGTGCCTGGGGCGGTCCCCTAGGCCTGCCTGCTCCCGCCCCCAGGGCTGGTCCCTACCTCCAGGAAGCAGCCCAACTCCGTCTGCAGCAGCTCCTTCAGCTCCTTCTTGCTCAGCTTGCGCTTGTCGCCCTCCTTGCCCGAGTAGTTGTGGAAGACGGTGATCAGCCCCTCCATGGCACGCTCCAGCTCAGAGGCCATCGCGCCGGCTCTGCAAGAAGCACCTCGAAGGACTGAGGAGCCCGGACCCCGGGTGGCACGGATGGGGGGCTGGGGAAGGGCATAGCCCCACCCTGCCAGCGTGCCTGGAGGGACCCACGGGTGGGGAGAGCGGCCTGCAGGGCCCAGCCAGCCCCTGGTCTCTTCACAGAGGCTGCCAACGTGGGGCCGAGGAGTGGTGGCGGTTCTGGGGATGGCTGGCATCCAGGCCACCAAAGAGCCACGAGCCGGGACTGGGCCAGGAGACCGCCCTGCCCCACGCCGCGTGGGGGTCAGCCCCGTTCTCATGCCACAAGGTTTGCTGTGGCGGAAAGGCCTACGCGAGGTGCCGGGGAAGGATGAACAAGGTCCACAGGGGGGAGGGCAGGATCAGGCCCTGCAGCTAGCCAGTCCCCCAGGGAAACTTTTGGGGCAGCAGGGGCACCTGCCCGGGGGGGCCTTCCTGTTCCTGCCCACTGCTCCCCTCTGCCCCAGCCAGGGCCCTTGCAGGGCTGAGGGGTCAGAGGGCACCTGTGGCACAAACAGGTTCGGAGCCCCCCCTAGCTTCTGGCTGCCCCATCCCCACCTCCCGCACAAAGCAAGCTCTGACCCAGGGCTATTGGTCTCCACCTGCCTGGCTGTGTCCAGAGCTGGGAGACAGCTGCTGGCCCCACTAGAAAAGCCCTGATCCAACCGGAGCAAAGGGGGCCAGATCAGAGCAAGGGTGACACCTCTGGAGGGAATCACTGCCTGTAGCCCTTCACTCCTGTAGAGCCACCAGGCCTCGGGCTCACCTGGGCCCCACCTGAACTGCCGCCCGGCCCCTGGGCTCACCTGGGCTCCCCTGCACAGCCGGCTGGCTCAGCGCTCTGGCAGAGTGAGCCTGAGTTGGCTGGTCAGTCACTTTAAATAAGAGCCAAGCCCCCCTCCCTGCAGGAGGATCTGATACCAGAGACTGGACAGCCTGGCTGGCGATGCTGGTCCAGTGCTCACCTGATTTAAAGGGACAGGGACAGCGGAGGGGCCTGTTTGTAGCAGGGGAGCTCCGTCCGTGTGAGGGGCTGCACAGACTGTAATGCGCACGCACGCCCATGCACACGGAGCTACGGGTGCCTCACGCCTCTCCCTGCATGTGCACACGCTCTCTGCCTCGTCTCAGCCCCACCAAGAGGCGCCTAGGCAGGGTTCAAATTTTCAGTAGGGCCCAGAAGACAATACACGTGTGCCTCGGAAGAGAATCCACGGGGGCACAAATCATTCAACATTTGACGCTGAAGGACCCCACCCGCCAGGCAGGGCCAATTGAGGGGCAGGGGGATCCATGGGGCTAATCCGGGAGCAGCCCCTCAGCTCTCTGGGGCCGTTTAACAGTTGTGAGGGGCACAGGCAGCTGCGTCGATCCCACTGACCCCATTCCTCAGAGTGGGGCCTCAACCACAGACCCCTTCTCCTCCACCATCGCCCTGGGACTGAAGCAGCAGCCGCTCAGATTCCCAGGCCCAAAGGGACCCCACGATCTCGTCCGCCTCCCTGCCTTCATTCCTGCTGGAACCAGAGCAGAGCCCTTAGGAAAACACCCCAAAGATGGCCACTGATGGACAATCCCCCCAGACCTTGGTAAATTGTCCCACTGGCTAATGACCCTCAATGTTAACGACCGGCATCTGATTTCCTGCCTGCGTTTGTCTAGCTCGAACTCCCCACCGCTGGGGCCAGCACAACGGTACTCCAGTACTGGGGACCCAGGACTGCAGCAGGCTGGGGGTGTGACGGTATTTGGGGTCATTACCACAGCCAGCACAACAGTGTTACTCCAGTACCTTGGCTCAGCATTACTACAGTGTGGGGTCACCGCGCCAGACGGCCCAGCACTGTTACTCCAGTACTTTGTCTGAGTGTCACTCCAGTACCTTGGCTTGGCATTACTACAGTATTTGTGGGGTCACTGTGCCAGACGGCCCAGCACTGTTACTCCAGTACTTTGTCCGAGTGTCACTCCAGTACCTTGGCTTGGCATTACTACAGTATTTGTGGGGTCACTGCGCCAGACGGCCCAGCACTGTTACTCCAGTACTTTGTCCGAGTGTCACTCCAGTACCTTGGCTTGGCATTACTACAGTATTTGTGGGGTCATACACTATGCCAGATGGCCCGGCACTGTTACTCCAGCACTATGTCCGAGTGTTACTCCAGTACCTTGACTCAGTGCTGTGGAACACTCTGGTATATTTGCTCCTGAACCGGTGCCAGCCATGGTGGCGCAGACGCCTGTAACCCATCCTGCTGCTTTCACTCTGCCCCCGGTGCTGATAAGGCCCCGGCTATCGGATGTCTCCTGGCGGCTCCGGCTGGACAATGGGAGCCGGCGTGGCGTGGCGGGGGGGCCCTATCGGGTAACGGACCCGAGCCCCCCTCGGCCTAGCGCTGCATGTCTATATAAAGGCCCCTTGTCAAATTAAAAAATCCCTGCTTGAAAGGTTGCTGCGGTAACAGCGGAGCCAGGAAACCAGATTCCTGGCCCGGAGCTTGGCTGATAGAGCCGGCACGGCGCAGCTCCTGTTACAGACATGGAGCCGGGGGGGCACAAGGGTGTTGCCAGGGGGAAGTGCCCCTTGGCTGCCCCCAGACCCACCCACAGGGGGAGCCCCAAGCTCTGATACCCCGGGGGCTGCCCCCATACCTGATCTCATGCTCAGAGACAGGGTTGCTCATACCCCAGGGCCAGGGTGGGCTGGGAGCAGGGGCTCATACCTCAGGGGCCAGCGTCCCTGGGGGAGCCAGTTCCACCCTCCCAGCCCAAAGCTCTGGGGATCGAGAGCCGCAAAAGCAGGGGATCCCCCCTCTCTCCCTCTGCTGCAAATACAGAGCCCAGGAGGGAGACCTGCTCTCCCCTCGCCATCAGTGCTGGCCCGGCGTGGCGCTAGGGGGCGCCGTGCGGCAGGGAGTGGGGTGGGGGTCGGTAGGGGGCGCTCTCCCCTTGCCGTCAGTGCTGGCCCGGCCTAGCGCCACGCGGCAGGGAGTGGCGGTCGGTAGGGGGCGCTCTCCCCTTGCCGTCAGTGCTGGCTCGGCGTGGCGCTAGGGGGCGCTGCACGGCAGGGAGTGGGGGTCGGTAGGGGGCGCTCTCCCCTTGCCGTCAGTGCTGGCCCGGCGTGGCGCTAGGGGGCGCTGCGCGGCAGGGAGTGGGGGTCGGTAGGGGGCGCTCTCCCCTCGCCATCAGTGCTGACCCGGCGTGGTGCTAGGGGGCGCCGTGCGGCAGGGAGTGGGGGTCGGTAGGGGGCGCTCTCCCCTTGCTGTCAGTGCTGGCCCGGCGTGGCGCTAGGGGGCGCCGTGCGGCAGGAGACATTAATCCGAGTCCCTGAGCCCATGGCTCTGTTGCACAAGACCCGGGCGGAAACCGGCTGGCTGGCCTGAATTCCAATGCAGACACTAATTGGGGAACTAATCATATCCTGGGTCCCCACCTGCGGGCTCAGTCCCACACGGCATTGTTCTTCCCGGCCAGCACCGCCCCTGCATGCCACTGCAGAGGTGGCTGCATTTCACAGCCGGGTGAAACGCTTCTGTCTAATCTACTCCGCTAGCGATCAGAGCTATTTATACCCCGCTCGGCCCCGTGGCCCCCCGGCACCCAGCGCCCTCCGTGTACGACGCTCCGGGACCCCGCAGCTGACGGGCTCTCTAGCAGTATAAGACAACGTCAAAAACTCCCAGCACCCCAACAGGGCCTGAGAACGTCACCTCCACAGCCAGCTCGCGCCCTCCTGCCCCATAAAGCTAGGCCGCTGCCACTTGTACAAAGGGAGAATCTTCATTAGTACTAGAGAGGCTATGACACACAGCTGAGCAGGGGAGGACAACAGTGCCCAGACCCGAGGCCCGGCTGGGCTGGGGGCAGAGCGAGGCCATGGCCCCTGCCTCACAAAGCTTCCAGTTGAAACAGATGAGCAAAGCACGAGATGGCGCAGCCCAAACGGGGACAATATTTAGTTGCACCATTTAAAAAAGCGATAACCTGCCCCCGCCACGTCTGTCATCGTCCCCAGCGGCCTCCCACCCGTAGCTGTCCTACCCCAGCTCCGACACCACGGGGATGGGCAGCACCATGAAACCTGACGCAGGTTTCTGGGAGTAGGAGACTGCTGTTCCCCCTCCCCCAGACCCAATCTGGACTCACAGCCCCTGGAGCCCCCCACCCTCCCTCTCCCTGCCTGGTTTAGGGCGTGGCATGGCCGGACGGGGTGGGGGGCGGCCGGCTGGCATTTCGCTGGGCCACACACCTTCCCCAAAGGGGTCTAAGGACACATTCCCGGGCTGGAAGCTGCATTGCAGGATTGATCCCGCTCCCTGGGCCTCCGGCTGGGGTCCGGCACAGGGACTCAGGCTGGGGCGCTGACTCCCATCTGGGGGTCCTGTATCATAGGGGGGAAGTACAGAGCAGATCCCCCCTCAGCGCCAGGCAGGACGGAGCCTCTCATTCCCCACACATCTGGGCTGGGAAGTCCCCTGGCCAGGGCTGCCCAGCTGGGCCCTGCTGTGGGGCCAGACCAGCCTGGCCTGGCCCCCCCCAGGGTTGAGGGGATGGGGGGCAGGGGAGCTATTTGCTGCCCGACACAGAGCTCACCCACTTGGCCGGTGCAGCTCCCCATGTGGGCAGGGGCGGGGCAGCTCCTGGGGGGGGGGGGGATGACTGCACCCTCTGGGTGGGAGGGAGGGGGCTGCAGCCGTCTGAGCTGGGGGGGTGGGGCAGGGGACATGGGGGATATCTCCCGAGTCTGTGGCTTGAATGAACTCAGCAAAACCCTAGCTCAGTCTCAGACCCTTTGGAGACTGGCCCCGGACAAAGGAGAGGGAGCAGAGGGGGGTGGGAACTGCCCCTGGGAATGCCCCGCCCCAGAGACGAGGCCCCCTCAGTGCAGGGGGGAGGGGTTGCTGGCTATGGCAGCCAGAGGGTACACAAGGGGCTGGGGCCGGTCATACCCCAGGGCAGGGCCAGGGAGGGTGGGGAGCAGCAGTGGCGGGGGGGAGTCCTACCCCAGGGGCCAGGGTGGGCACGTGCCGGGGGTCGTACCCCAGGGGCCGTTCACTCTCCCAACCCAAAGCTCTGGGGCTCGAGGGGAGCAAAAGCAGGGGGACCCCTCTTTCTCCCCATGCTGCAAGCACAGCCCCCTCGACCCTCCTCTCACCCCCATTTGCGAGCGCGCCCTCCTGCCAGCACTGCCCCCCGACTCATACCTGCCCCCCCACACCCGCTCCCATCCCCCCCCAAATGGGGCCGCAGTCCTGCTCCCCTCGGCGCCAGCGAGGGCTTCGCCTCACATGGGAGCAGGAGCAGGCCCGACCGCTCCCTGGGCCCTGCCCCACGCCAGCTCCGTGGGTCCCTGGCTAATGGCACCCCCAGCCCACAGAAGCCATCCCCCCTCCAGTCCCACCAGCGAGCACCTGGCCAGCCTGAGCCCACCCCTGTGCTCCCCCGCCCCCAAGTCCAGTCACCCCATGGCGAGCGAGAGCAGGATTATGCCCCCGTCCTTCCTTCCCCAAACCCCACGAGCCTGAGTGCCCCCCCCCCGGCCCGTTTGCTTGGGAGCCGTAGTTAGCCACTTACTAGTGGGTGGGCGCAGACTGCTGCCGGAGTGCCCCTGTCTGCTGCGTGCGCTAAGCCTGAATGCCGCGGGGCCCCGGTCTCCTTCCCACCGCCCTCGCGTCCCAGCCCATGTCCTAAGAAGGGGAACTGGCAGCTGGACAGAGCTGGGGGGGCGGGGGGCTGGCTCAGCCGGCACCAACAGCTGCTTTCTCTGCTGGCTGGCAGGCTCTGCCCCTCGCTGGCACCCCTTCGAGCCGTTCCGTTTCTTGACAGAAAACTCTGGCTCTGTGTCCCGCTCCCTGCCTGGCGCCCGTCTGCAATGCATGGTGCGGGGCTGGAGTTCCAGGGGCCTCTCTCTTGGGCCCCCCCGCCCAGCACCCCAATGCCCCCAGCCCTGCTCGCTTCTCAGGCCCAGACGGCCCAGCTCCCTGGCTTGCGGGACTGAGAATCAGGCCCCGGTAAGGGAACCAGATACGGGGCATTGGCGTCTTCGCTAGGCCGGGAAGCGCAGGAGGAAATACCCTGGCAGGGCCCATCTGGCGCTGGAGACAGGAACCTCTGAACCTCGGAGTTACGACTGTCCGGCCCGGGGGGGCAGGATGGGGAGGGGAGAGCCCAGACCAGGTGCTGGGTGTCTGGCGGCCGGCCGGGTGCTGCGGGTGGACACTCAGGCGTTACCCTACAAAGGCTGTTACCCGCTCCAAGCTGGAATGGCTGGCAGGCTCGGCTTAGAGCAGTAAAGCAGAGACAGGGACAGGTCTAGCCGTTAAAGCGCAGGACCGGGAGCCAGGACTCCTGGGTTCCCTTCCTGATCCTGGGAAGGACTGCTGGGAGCTCTGGGTTCTTATGCCAGCTCTGCCACAGACTGCTTGTGTGACTTAGGGCGCGTCACGTCCATTCTCTGTGCCTGTCCCCCCCCGTGAAAGGTGATAATACTGAACAATGTTTGTCTAAACCCTTTGACCTGATGGGGTAGAGGATTATTTTAACACGGTGGTTTGATCTTCCAGATGCCAACTAATTAAAGTTCTAGCCTGTTATTATTATTTTACAGATGGGGAAACCGAGGCACTTGCTGGTCAAATGACTTGCCCTCGGCCATGGAGGATTTCCTGTGAGGATTAGAATTTAGGAGGTTCTTGCTTCCAAGTCCTGGGCTCATCCCCACACCTGTCTCTGACACAGCAAGTTCACAGCGGTCCCGGCCTTTAGTGGCTGGATGGAGCTGGGGAAGAATGGGAGAGGACCTATGCCCTGGCACCGGAGGAGTGAAATTCCCTGTGTGCAGACGGGTCAGTGCCTGGCAAGGGGGACCCTATCACAACACACACACAGAAATGGGCTTAACTGCAGAGACACAAGGGGCCAGATCTGACGCCCACCAAAATCCCCCCATGCCCTGCCCCACCCCCTTGTCTGCATCGGGTTTTGGGTCAGTGCCTAGAACTGCAGCATAATTTTTACCAGACTCAGATAAATACTTTCTTAGGTAGTTGGCTGGCGCCCCTCACTGTGGCATCAGAGTACCTCACAGTATTT